TTAAAAGTATAAAAATAGTAAGAAAAAGTCTTTAGAAATGATATGGAATTTCACCAAATAAAATTAAACAGTTAATTCTTAAAATTTTTTCATTTCTCTTCTTTTTAATATTTTTGTCCACTTGTGCAAGCTTATATCCTCTAATCTGAACAAATAATTGGGAGACAACAATCTGCAATACAACAACCATTGTTGAACTCCTATCATTTTATTTAGTAAAAGATGTATTTGAATGAAAATGATTGACTCTACAAAAGGTGAAGTCTAGAAAGTCCCCATAAGCCAGATTCAGTCCCACTATTACTAAAATCATATCAACTATTCTTTCTTCTCTTTTCTCCTTTTCTTAAACAACCTTTTTACAGTATTTTCAATTGACGATATCAGGTGATTTTATTCTTAAATATTGCATTATGCTTTTCAAAAATAAAAAGGTTTTCTTCCATAAATACCATTCCATTATGACATCTACCAAAGCTGATAGTGTTTCCTATCATCTAAATACACTGTCCAGATTCGTTCCATTACCTATGTGTTCTAGTTAAGGATTCACTCTACACATCATACAAACAAGGTCCACATGGGATAATTGTTTTCTGCCTTGAAGCTCATTTAGGTCTCTCATAATATATGTTTCTGTTTTATTAATAGCAGCTCTGACACCATCAGTTCATCGACACTAGTGGTAACCTAACACAGTAACATGCATGTGGTGAACTTGTCTCCAAGGGTTCAGTCTTCCAAGTGATTCATTTCCATAATCATAATGACAATTTCTCAAATAAGGCATTAACACACACTAGACTATCACAGTCCATCTCTCATCTGGGAGATAATAACCCTTACAGTGTCTCTCTACAGATACTGACATCTGGCCACTCTGCCATTTAACATGTGGGCAGTCTTGAGAAATTAATATCCTTGAAAAGTATTGTTTTCAACTGCAAGGGTTACCACTACTACTACAACAGTAAAAACTTTCTTTTACAAAAAGAGAGCTGCCTATTCCATTTTCTGCTCTTCACTATCATCAAACTAGGAATAGTGCACAGCTCCCAGAATACATTAAGCTGTCACCTTACATTATGTCACTTGTCACACATAATCCTATGACATGGTGCTGATATGACTCCTGTTTACATCTGATGATACATTGAGAATCAGGACGTGAATTCATATCCTCCAGGATCCATATTTAGAGAGCACAGGACCCAGTATTCACACCCAAATCCTTCTGGCTCTCCAATTACATAATCACCCCTTCAGTAAGCTTGCATAACTCAGTGCCTGCCTCTTCCTTTTCCTCCCAGAGTTCACTTCCCTGTGGCTGGCTACTACCACTGGCCTTATACGGGTCTCAGTTTTATGGTGAGAAGGGAGGTGACTGTTGAGATTGAATTCGGTGCCTGGGAACAATTCCTGAGTATGAATGACCTGCAGGACACCTGGATAGTGGCAGGACCTCTCTTTGACATCAAGGCTGAGCAGGGAGCTCTGGCAGCTGTGCACCTCCCTCACTTCATAGCCCTTCAAGGTAAGACACAGGGGAAGGGAAGAGGACGCTGATAAAAATGGGCTTGAACAGGATGATGCATGTGGATAGATGGGGAGAGAAGTCATAGCTACCTTAGAAAGGCAGAGAGAGTCACGGGTGTGGAAACTGAGAGTGTTTCTCATTGTACTCTTCTCTGTGCACATATCTTTTGTGAAACACCAGTCTCTTGTTTTTATAATTGTTTTTTTTTTCCTGAGCTTACCTAAAAATTTGCCTAAATGGTATATGATCCCTCAATAACTTGAATAAGTAGCATTTAATAATACACATTACATATGCAATGTCACTCAGAAACCCAGTTAGATTCAGGTGATGAGCTTAGTTCAAGTATTTGGAGGGATTTTTTACAGGACTACATATAAGGTAAAGCTTAGAGAACTAAGAATAAATTTTAGTATGCTGGGTTTTTCAAAAATGAGAATGCATCTATGGCACACAGTAGGCAGAGACTATCAGATTCCAATTCAGAGTATAGGCCACAAAACTGGGGTATCCTAACAGAGGAGAGTAGTCACTACATATCCCAGCATGTTACCTCCAAACACTTCCCACAGATAAAGTTTAAGAAACAGAAGCTTCCAGTCAAAACTCTCAGAAGTGTATATAGTGCACCATATGTGAGACCAGGAGAGGCAAATTGCTAAATGAGCCATTTAAATATTAAAGACAAGGCCAGACAGATAGCTCTGAGTTTCTCTATAACTTTCTGCTATTGCTTATTTACTATTGACGCTATTAACTCGTGCATTTGAGCTGCACTGGTAGAAAAGAATTCCGCTCTGAGTTCCTCTATGACTTTCTGCTGTTTCTTATATACTATCGACACTATTAATTCATGCATTTGAGCTGAGCTAGTGTCCTCTGCACTTGTTCTGGGTGGGCATTGGGTTTCCTCCATATGTTTCTGCATTTGATTCTTTACTGCAGATGTTATTATTCAGGGATTTCTTTTTTCATTTCCAATCTGAGTTCCTCTATACCTTTCTGCAGCTGTTTCTTTATTTCAGAAGCCGTTGATTCATTGCTTTCAGCTGTGTGATTCCCAATTTGTTCTGTGTTAGTGTCCTCTGCACTTGTGATAGGTGGGCTTGGGTTCTGACATTGCATTTTGCTCCTTCTCCTTGTCATTTTGTGTAGCACTGTCTTCTGACCTTTGTTGTAGATCTTTGTTGCATTTATAGCCTTAGCACCTACTGAAGTTCAGGTGCAGATCTACAAAGTTTGGATTTATCCAGCTGTGCCTGGCTTGGGTCTGGCTATTGTATTCAGTTCCTTCCTGTTGTTGCCCTTGGGGTTGAACCTGTTTTGCCTCTCTGGCAATATGTTCTGCTCCTGGACTAGCTTGGTGGTTCTGTCCCATACACTCTCTGCAGGGATTGTAGCTGAAAGGTTTCACCCCAGGCCTGTATGCAGGTATACTCTTTATAGTTATAATGTTTTTATAATTTCCTCCTAAAGTGCATGTAATAAGTGACAGCACTTACACAACAGGCTTTACCTCCCCTATTAAAACTAACACCACTCAATGGAGTTTAGATTGATATTCATGCCACCTAATAGCCTTGCATGGAAAGTGCATGACTTGCTAACTTCCCAGCAGCACATGAAAGGAAACAGGATTCCTGCTGATTTTGGCATTGTTCTTCTCTCCTTAAGCCCTATTTGTGGTGTTATGTCTCCTCCTAGAGCACTAAGCATTGACGTAGTCAAAGAAACCAGTTTTGGTTGATATTGGAAGAAAATTAATGCTTGGGGAAACTCCTGAGAAATCACAAACTTACCAAAAGGTGTAAAACAAGTCAATAAAAAAATAAGACAATGGAAAACTACTGCAGGCACAAAGGAGAGAAACAGACAGACAGACAGACATAGGGACAGAAACAGAGACTGGGACAGAGACAGAGACAGAGACAGAGACACATACAGAGAAATCAAGATCTGCTATAGACACAGCCAAGGTGGGAATTTCTTGCCATGGAGAGCCCTAGACTCTGCAAAGCACTGCTACTGCCAAGATTATCTCTAAGCATCTCCTCTCCTGAGTATCAACCCTCTAGGATCAAGCTTAGAGTAACTGGCACCCACTCAGTTAAATCTTGATTCTACACATGTGTTTTAGCGACCGGGAAGTTGCTGCTTCCTGAGAGGAAAGCTCAGCTTGCCTCCTGCCAAGAAACCACAATGATGTAGGAAGGGGTTCTTTCCAAAAGGAAAAACTTGAATGTTGCCAAACTCCTGTCCAATGTAGAATGCCCTTTGTCACTCCACAGCTCCTTCTCCTCCCATTTTCTCCACCTATTTACAGTAAAAAATGCCAGCATCCCTCAACAGAATTTCAGAGTGAGAGAATCCCTAGCATCTAGGGCACCCTTAAATCCATTCGGTTTTCTGGGTCTTAGACCCAACCGAGCTTCAGTCTGAAATTGACTCAAGGGTTAGGATTTCATAGTTCTCCTGTAGAGGACACAGAGAAATTCTTGCAGCATACAAGCTATCTCAAATAAATATATGTCTCCTTGGACCGGGGAGATGGCTCAGTGGAATAAGCGCTTCCCTGGCAAGC